CTTTCCCAGTCAAACTCACCTCAACTTCCAACACGGTCATCTAATGAGACCCTCCTGTCATCCCAGAAATGGAAATAGTCTCTGGTCCCACATGTCCTGATGGCATTAACATACATTGAGCGCCAGTGTCAACCAAAGTCTGGTATTCTTGTCTGTCTGATGTGCCAGGCCATCGGATCCACGCAGTCCAATAGACACGGTTATCCCATACCTCTACCTGGCTAGAGGCAGGGGAACGGATCTGTGTGCGAACTCTCTACTGGTTTTCCCGGAGTAGAGCTTGGCAGCGCTGTCCCCCTTTGGCAGGGGGAGAGAAAGACCAAGCTTCCACGGTGTGTTCCGTGGCAGAAAGAGCTTTAATCTTAAACTCGTGCAGTTTATATGGGTTTGGGGGGAGGGCAAGAAGGAGGGCTGTGATTAGGTGGAGGTACGGGGGGAGGGGAGTGACTTGAGAGCCCACTGACCAATGGGAGATACAGGAGGATCGTGTTCCAGTAACCGAGACAGGGATTTGGGGAGAGGCGGGCGCAACAAGATCCACGATCGGGGGGAGGGGGAGACCGCAGGGTGGGGGGGGGGGGGGGCCGCATGGACCGGGGGAAGTACATAACTGTCATGGTTTGAGATAGCCCCAAAATCCAATTCCCTAGCTCCATCCCCCCTCCCACATCTCAACCCAATGTGAGATGGGTTTTTTCCAGACAAAACACAACCAGACTCAGAATGGGGGAAAGGGAATATATTACAATGACTGTACAAATAAATACTATAACACATTATACACACGATCACAACTATCTCTACCATGACATATAGTATTTACAATGGACCAGATCTCTTCTCCCCTCCAAATAAAAGTCCAGGAGGGAAAGAAGGACAGATCCCTTCCACATTTAGGGCAGCAGCTCCTCTTCTGTCTTCCATGCAGCAGTAACTGGGTTGTTGTAGTTGGATCTCTGTTCAACATACACAAGGGGATCTCCAAGCCCCTCGACTCTCCTTCAGTCCAAGTGAAGGCCTCACCTGTGGACTGCCAACAGGGACAAGACTCGCGTCACCACAGGTATATCACAAAATGCAGGGGCATCTTCGTAAAAGTCCCTTCCTCAGGGGATTCAAATTCCCCTTTGCAGAGCTCCGTGCTCTGCCTCAAGGCAGCGGGGGGGGGCGAAGCCCTCTTCCACATTCCTCTCTGTCCTGGTCCAGCTTCCCAGGACGCTCTGAGCTTCTCAGCTCTTCTCTCTCTCTCTCTCTCTCTCTGGTACTGCATGTCCAAAACTGCTCTCCAAAATAGGAGTCCATGTCCCTCCTTTCCAAGAGGGGTCTCAAAGGAGTTTTGGGGGGTCTGGTATCAGTTCTTACCCCCAGAATTCTGTAGCTCTGCTGCTAGCTTCTGCTACTTCTCCGGTTCAGGTCTTATCAGTTGGCTTTTAACCATAACCTCTGGACGCTGCCGCCGCTTCTACTGTCTCTGCTAACTCACAGTGGAAAACATCCCCCAACTCACAGCTACAGACACATAGTCCAACTTAACACTGTTCCAAGTCTCTGTAGCCCCCAACTGGGGTGGGGGGGGGGGGGACCCAGAGGCCCCGAGGGGCTGAGCCCCTTCCTCGTGGCTCTACAACATGACCACCTCTCCTACTACCAAACTACAACTCTTCTCTTCCGTTTGTTTGTGGTATGTTTACATTTCTGCAGGAGCGCCCATTGGACAGAACTTCAAAACTTCCAGGGGTTTCCACCCCTTGCGGGTTACCACTTTTCTTAGCCTCTGGGGGAAAACAAGATTCAAACCACTACAATAACTCAGGGAAAAACCGGTACAGTAAAAACGCAGGTAGTTGTTTTTTCTGCTTTGCTCGGTCCCGGGGAGTTGCCGCTGTAATGGACCTGTTTCTAAAGCTGTTCTTTCCAGCTCTCGTAATCCTACCATTCACCCACAATTCCCTTTTTTATTTATTAATGAAACGTAAACTTGCGCAGCATTGTGTATTACGAGACCCTGGAAACATTTGGCTATGCACGGAAGAACACAAAGAAGGATTGCTAGTATGAATAAACCTAAGAGTAGAAATAATAGAAATTTCTTCAGGGGCTGTGAGAATCCCTTCAAGGAGAGTCATTCGAACATGTCGTCCCAACTAACCTCGTCAGACTTTAGGATTTGTTGTATGAGGGAAAGGAGTTCATTTATATGGGAATGAATAGATTGAGAGTGGTCGGAGAAATTTAAGCAGCATAGCCCCTCAAATTCATCGCAACCGTGTCCATGAACTAGCAGTAGGAAATCAATGGCTGCTCTATTCTGTAAGGTGGTTTTTTTAATCTGCTGTGAATCTAGTAGTAAGTCCTCTAGTGCCGCACTCGTCGCATTAGCCTCCTTGGCTAACCAATATCCCATTTTTGTGAGCAGATCTAAGGCATGTGTTGTGCCAATGGCTGGAATTATTATGCCTCCCCAGAGATTCTTGCTGTGGGACCAAAAGTGGAGGTCAGAATCGCAATTTTCAGTGAATTGTTGTAAATTCTGAGATTTGAAAAGGGGATGTTACTTAACCAGGGGGTGAGGGACTTGTTGAGGGGTTGTGTTTGTGAATGGTTTTTCACTTCTTTTAAATCACTGGACTGCAGGTGAGTCCAGTTTCTTCGAGTAGGAGGTGATGTCCCGTTTCGTGATTGTTTTAGGGGGGCTAATGGCTAATGAATGGATTATCTTTGCGGGATTATAGAGTGATACCTGGCCTAATGTGCAAGGTCCCCCTACCGCTCCTTTAGGGATTGCTTTCCACACCCAAAGTCCACAGATGAGGAACACCCCCTTGGGGAGGGCAAAAGGTAGTGGGGGGTTTCAATTTTTTCTTTGCACCAGAATTCAAAGTTGAAATATGCTTCATTGGATGTTACATTAAACTGATTTTCACCTCTTCCCTCTGTTTTCATATTGAAATAAAAACAGTGGGATGAGGGGAGGATACCCAAAATTTGTAACTCTTCAGGGTAGTCATCTAGGTATCTGACTCGGCTTTTGGGGGTTGTGGGAAACAGGACACAATTTGGTTTCCAATTTTTTCCGGATCATTGCACAGAGGGGAATATTGATTTTTAAATCCTGTCCATTTTTGAGAGGACCAGAGAACTGCAACTAAACATGTTTTTAACGGGTTAGAAGGGTCTGAGACAGAAAGGCACAAGGAATCAATGTCTAAAGACTTAACTAGAGAAGTCCACATGTTTCCAGGATCTGCAACTACCCAATCTGGCAGTGGAGGATTTGTAGGAGAAAACTGATTCGATGACATGACAAGATGGCTTAAGACGGCAAGAATAATGTAGATCATGATGGTACTTGGTCGCTGTTGTGCAATTTCACTAGACGAGAAGGAACCCACTTCGGACCGGAACCTGTGGAAACACAAGCATACCCCCTTCCCCAAGTGATAAGAGGAACAGGGCCAACCCATTCACCTGTTATTACATCTTTATAAATAACTCTTGCATCAGTTCGGACTTGATTCTGGTGTGAAGTGTCTTTCTATGGGTGAGGTGTCCTGTTCTAACCTATTTAGGAAGTTGATGACGTACAAGGCCTTGTTTAACTTCTCTTGGGGTGTGAGCCCGATGGTTGTGTTTTGTTGCTTGGTTAACATGTTTTTTAGCATTTGGTGGGCACGTTCTACTATAACTTGACTAGTCGGGGAATGGGGGATGCCTGTGACATGTGTAATTCCCCACGTATTAAAAAATTCTTTTAATGATTGAGAGGTGTAGGCTGGACCATTGTCGGTTTTCACGGTTTTGGGAATGCCAAGAATTGATATGGCAGGCATGAAGTGTTTTTTGACATCTCGAGTCTTTTCTCCTGATTGAGTTGTTGCTGCAATAGCACCAGAACATGTGTCGATAGACACATGAATGTACTTTAATTTCCCAAATGGTGCATAATGTGTTATGTCTGACTGCCAAATGTCTAGTGGATTAATGCCACGAGGGTTTACTCCCTCCGATGGTAGGAGAGTAAGTCTTTGGCAATCTGGGCATGCAGAGATGATGGTTCTAGCTTGAGAGAGTGTGAGGTTGAATGTTTTTGTGAGGGATTTTATGTTCTGATGAAAAAAACTGTGAGACAGTTTTGCTTTTTCAAAATTATTTGGGACCACCGCAGTTTGTACTAGGTGTCCTGTGTCAGCTATTTGATCTGCGACACAGTTTCCTTCTGCAATGGACCCTGGGAGGGAAGTGTGAGAGCGGATGTGGATTATGTGGAATTTGTGTTTGTGCTGACTAATTTCATACCATAGTGTTTTGAACATGTGAGCTAATTGTAATTGGGAGAGGTCCTTTATGTAAGAGTTTTCAATTCATCGGACTACTCCAACCACATAGACCAAATCAGAAACAATATTCAAAGGCTCTGGAAACAGTTGAAACGCACGTATTACTGCAGAGAGCTCCGCTATCTGAGAGGAACCTCTTACCTTGTGCGTGTCAAACACCCACTTCCCTGCTTTTTACCAGGTGACTACTGCGTTAGAAGTCCTACCCAAACCATCTGTAAAAACAGTTCTAGCATTCGTTAGTGGGAAAGGTGAATAATTATTTGTTAGCTCTGGTTGGGTGAGAACTAGTAGCTGTAGAAAAGGGATAGGTGGGAGGTATACTGAAAATTGACCCTTAAAATCAGCAATAGCTAACTGGAAATTGTCACTATGAATCAACAACTGGGTTAGCTGGACAGTAGGCAGGGGAACATATATGACTTCTGGGTCCTTTCCCAAAAGTTCCCACAGCCACAGTCTGCTTTTGTGACACACCTTGGAGAGCATTTCAGGATATGTCGTAACCGATTTAGAAAACTGAAAGTTTAGAAAAACACATTCCCATAACAGAAAGTTCTTGCTTTTTAAATCTAATTGTCCTAGAACAACATAGGGCTACTTGATACCCTTAAAAATTACTAACACCACCGGTAACCCACACACTCTTTGCTTAGTCTGACATGCACTCAGTCTTTGATTTATGTCCTGTAACACTGCTCAGGCTTCTGGTGCCAGGTGTCAAGGGGATGTCAGGTCCAACTCCCCTTTCAGAAGTTGGAATAGTGGTTTTAAAGAGTCTGTTGTTATACCTAGGAGAGGTCTAACCCAATTAATTAAACCTAGCAAGGATTGTAAGTCATTTAAGGTGTGGATGTTGGAGGGTAAGGCAACAGTCTGAGGTTGAATCGTGGTGTTATTGATGTGAAATCCGAGGTATTTCCATGGCATTGTCATTTGTTTATTTTCCGGTGCGACCTCAAGGCCATGTCTTAACAGAGCAGCTTTCACAGTCAAATGAACTTGTGCGAGTTGTTCCTTGGATTCAGCAGCCAGTAGGATGTCGTCTATATAGTGGTACAGGATGGTCTGGGGAAACTGCCGACAAATTGGAGACAAGACCTCTGTGATGACTCTTTGTCACACAGAGGGGCTATTTCTCATTCCTTGAGGCAGGACGGTCCAGTGATAGTGTCGAGATGGTTCTGCTGCGTTGATGGAGGGTACTGTGAATGCGAACCTACGAGAGTCTTTAGAGTGTAAAACAATGTTAAAGAAACAGTCTTTGATGTCTATAATAATGATGAACCATTCTGAGGGTATCATTGTGGGTGATGGGAGTCCAGGCTGGAGAGCTCCCATGGGCTCTATGATTTTATTAAGTTCCCTTAAGTCCTGTAGTAACCTCCATTTTCCATTTGATTTTTGTATTGTGAAGATGGGGAAGTTCCAGGGACTATCTGTTGGTACTAAATGTCCCTTTTCCAATTGTTCATCAACCAGTAAGTTTACTTGCTGCAGTTTCTCTCCCTGTAGAGGCCACTGGGATACCCAGTGTGGCTCATCTGAGAGCCATGTGAGGGTGGGAGACTGCAGCTGACCAGTGACCTCTAAACTAAATTTGACGTGGTTAGGTGAATTCCCCATTGCCCTATAATATCCCTTCTCCAAAGGGTCACTGGAATATTAAGGACGTAGGGCCTTGTAGAGGCTGTTTTACCTTCAGGGCCTTCAATCAATAGTGTGCAGGCACTTTGGAGCGATGACTGGGTTCCTCCTACCCCTTTGATGTTGATGCAGGGCTGTGTCATGTTCCATTCCTTAGGCCAGTCGCTTTCTGCAAAGATTGTGACGTCTGCACCTGTGTCCAGAAGACCCTTAACTCGAACACACTGGTTAGAATTGGGATACAACACAGCACGTTAGCATAGGGCGGTCAAGTAAAATCGACTGTGACCACTGAACCAAAGACATTGAGTCCAAAGTGTTTCTCCCCACCTCACTGTGGGTTAGACTGGCAATCGGTGTATTTGTGTCAAGCTCCATGGGTGGAAACAGAGCTTTGATGGTTACTTCTACTACTTTTGGGTTGTCTAGAGATATTGATTGGGGGACAACTGTTAACCCTGTATCGGAGGATGCGGCAGTTCCTGTTAGAATATATTGAACAGCAGGTAACTGTAATTCAGTTGTTGGTTTTAGTAGGACGGTCTGGTAGCTATCGTTGTCTATGGTGAGTTGGTGGGGAGATGCCAGCTCCACCCTAAGGATACTTGCTCTGGTTGTCCATCCGGGATCGAGGGAAGCAGGTGAGTGGGGTTGGCTTGTGGGGCATTTTTGTCGTAGTGCTGTCCCTGGCGCTCAGCAGTCCGTTTCCCAGCATCAAAACCAGTTTGGGAGCAGACCTAGGTGAGAGTGGTTTGCCGTCTCTGTCAAAGAGTGACCTACATTCACTTGCCCAGTGCAATCCCTTTTTGCATCAGGGACACAAACTGGGAGGTACTGTAGGTGGTCTAGGTTTTAGCTGAGGGCAATCTTTTTTAAAATGTCCAGGTTGTTTGCACTGGTGGCATGTAGCCAACCTTAAAAATAGTGCATCTTGAGCTTCTGGGTGTTTGACTTGTTTTGCAATGGCTTTCTTTAGCTTTTCTGCAAAGTATATGAATGGTTCTGTTGGTTTTTGTTGTACTTGTGTGTATGAGGGTGTAGGTTCAACTGCCTCAGCAATGGTTTGAATAGCTTGGAAGGCTAGATTTTTTGAAATGTCCAATTCATTCATAGGAATCTTGGTTTGGGCCTCATTGGACATATAAAGTCCCACTCCAAAAAGCCTATTAAAGGGCTCCAGAACTGGGGTCCCTGTGGTTGCTGAGGCTCGCTGGGCATACTGGCGAATGCCAGTTTGCCATTCGTCTAGGAAAAGTGTTGCTTGCATATTAGTGAAGAAAGCACTTACTTATTCCTTTATGTCATTTGGAGTGAATGTGTATGCAGCAAAGAATGAATTCAGTACCCTTATTACATAAGGTGAGTTTAACCTGTAGTCAGTAATAGCTTGTTTTGTATCCTTCAGAACTGGGAGGGGGATGGGTTCCCAGACAGGGCGATTGTTGGGCTGATAAAATACAGGAAATGCTTTAACTAAATTCAAATCATCAACTGTTGATGCTTGTTCCTTTATGTAAGACCATCTGCTCCTCTGGGCACTGGCACCGGAGAAGCCAGGACCATGATTACAAACATGTTGACCTGTATGCGGGGACGGGGAGATGGAAATAGGTGGGGTATGGGGGGATGGTGGGCCTTGTGGGGGACAAGCGCCATCTACTGGTGTGGAGGAACAAGTACATCCACAGGGTGGTAGCACTGAAGGGGTTAAAGCGCCAGCTACTGGTGCGGTAGAATAAGCGGCGTTGTCGTGGGGAGTGAGGATTTGGAAAGGAGTACATGGATGCGTT